AGAAAGCGGAATTTAGAACAACTTAACTATTGGAAAACTTAACAGAATACTCAGTGCAGTAACTTAACTAATTAACTATTCCAAAGTAGTAACATTCGATAAACAAACCCTTGGCAAAAAGTTAAATTCAAACACAGATTCTTACAAGCAGGAGGGAGCAGCATCCAAAGAGATTTCAGAGAAAGTCAGTTAGGAATAATTTATGTGCAACTCTTCTGGACTCAAACATCTTGTGACTGCTACAGCTAAAAAAGTAGAAAATATTGGCAAAGAGCTATAGCTTGGGTTATGGATGAGGTTGTTGACTTGCTCGCCGAGCTGTGATGATGTCACGTAGCATGGTGACGAAACGTCTGGACGAAAAAGAAGCTAGCTGGGCGAGCAAGTCAACAACCTCAAAAAAGTAGAAAACGTGAACTGGCAGAACCGGCCACTCCCCTTCCGTTATACAACTGTTGAAAAAAGAATGCCCAACGGTCTCTTAAGCCTAGATATTGCAGCTCTTCTGCCTTTATTACCTCTCTTCAAAAAAAAAGGACAAAATAACCTTTTTTAAAGTGATAGCAGAAGAGCAGGTCCTGCTCGCCCATCTGCTCTCTCTCGTCCACACAAGAGTAGTCGCAACATCAAAAACAGAAATTGCGGGAAATCAGCATCAGGTCTGGCAGCATCTGTACAGAGAAAGCAGAGCAAACGTTTTGGGTCCAGTGACCATTCTTCAGAACTGCTGTTCTATTCTGTTTTAATTCTGATTTCCAGCATCCGTAGTTCTTTCGGATTAATGTTCAGCATAGTCACAAACCTGTTGAACAGCTTCGAGAGAGAGACAGACAGAAATAGAGGCCATGAAGGTCAGAAAGGGGCTCGACACGTCACTACTGTGATACCCTACAACGATAAACTAACAATCCGAAATTCACTAAGATTGCTGCATGACTCCCAGGGAGAGGTGTTGTCCTGTCACTGATATCATGGATGTTGAAGGCCCGTAATCTCCACTGTTAATGGTGCAGGCCTTCAGCAAAATTGCGAGTTCGCACTAGCTCACTCGGCACTATTATCCAGCGTCCCTCCACTAAACGTTAATCAAAAATCCGAAGAAGATGCCAAACAGAGGTCACGTGGCATTGAATTGACTGTGGAGAAGACGTGGATGAGTACTGCGATCAAAGAAAGTGTCAGGCATGAGTCTGTAAACAGCAGGGTGTTGCGAATTCTAGCTCATGGAAAGGTCAGGTGACCAGTGATTCCAGCTGGTAAAGTCGCTGGTGATGCAAAATCAGTTATTCTTCTGAACGACTGGTAATGCAGTGAAGCTGGCGTACAACGTCAGGCAAAACAGAACTATTACATACATGAAACCAACAGATGGAGGATCCTGCAGCAGAGATAGCAAAAACATCATAATCCTTCACAAGTCACTTTCGAACAGTGGCGTTAAAGAGGTTCACTGTGAAAATTAGATCGTACGTCCAAACAAATCACAGATCTTTTGCAAATGCAAGCATTCAATTCACTCTGGTTAGATCTGTTGTAGCACATGATGTTGTTGGTAAACATCAAAGATTCTAACATTTATTAGAAAGAAGCTTAGATGTTTGAAATTGGTGAAATCGTTACCTTTCAATTTTAATTTCATTACAAGCATCCTGTGCTGCAAAATCTGCAATTTGTTTCGAAAAAAAATGCACGTGAGCTGAATTTTACAGGCTAACAATTTGATATCAGAATTTGAAAATTATGGCAGCTTGGTTTAAAAAGATAGGACAAGTGGCTTGTTCTTTTGCGCATGTTTCTTTTAAAAAGAGTGGGACGTAATAGTGCATTTTTTTAGACAACCAGAATGTTTGAGTAAAGTCAAAGGAAGGAAAATGAAATTTCAAAAGACAGATAGTAGATAAACCTTCCAATTTCCAAATTAATAAATTTATATGCGTAAATTTACGACTACGATTGGATGTTATTATCAAAGTGGTCTTATATCCAGATGCAGGTTGGATGCTGTTTTCCGTTTTTAAACAGTTTCAGGAGCTATCGAAGTACTGATAGCACAGTCAGGGAGCCAGGAATCTTAGAGATTGAAGAATTTACTTCCAGTCATCATATTTTGACGAAAGGACAATCATCTATTTTGTTCTATTTGACGACAACGTGTTAGAGAATGAAAGAACCATGAAATAACTCCGATCATTTTTGTATCCAATATAAAAGCATTGTTTAAAATCATCAAGCTTGGACTTTTTTTTTACTGTACCTGGAATTGTAAAAGTAATTTAAGTTGCTACTTCAAACAATCATTAGAAATTGTATGCAAAGTTAAATAGTCAAACAAAAATAAATGGAAATAAGAAATAAAAACCGAAAGAATTGCAGATGCTGTAAACCAGGAACAAAAACAGAAATTGCTGGAAAAGCTCAGCATGTTTGGCAGCATCTGTGAAGAAAAATC